TAAGGGTTTCCTATTTCCCTTTAATTAACAAGCAGAGAACGGAAAGAGTTTGGCACCAGTATAAACACCCATTACACTCACCACGACAAAACCCTTCCATTAGAATTTACCACCTGCAAGACGTCACAGACTATAATTCATTCTTAGTAAGCGCAAGAGCAAACCCAAACCACCTGCAATTAACCGCAGGTTACTGTCACGTAGTCAGACACCCCGACACTGCCTGCCTACGCTCGGGACGGCGGCGCTTCAGAACCCGTGGGACGGCGGCGGAGAACGAAACAACCTCTTTATCAGCGAGGAGAAAAGGCGGCCGCAGCCCGGGGCGCGGGGCCGGGGGAGCCCGGCGTGCCCAAACATCGCGGCCGCTGCTCGCCGAGAGAGGAGCGCTTTCTCCACGCCGTGGGCAGCTTCTCCGGGGCGGGCTGCCGTGTGAGCAAGAGACCTACACAGGGAAAAGTTTTTGGATTTTTTTTTTTTTTCATAAGTTACTCTCGAGAAGGAGGCGCGGTAGCTGCAGTTCCCACCGCCCTCTCGGCCGCCGGCCGCCCCTCACTCTGCTCGGCTCCGCCGCGCCCGGGCTCACCTCGATGAGCCCCTGCAGGGCGGGTCCCTGCAGGCAGGTGTGGTTGGCCAGCAGCTCCAGGCGCTCCTGGAGGAGGCGCTGGGCCGCCTGCACCTCGACGGGCCGCTCCAGCGCCTGCAGCACGGCGGCGCCCATGCCCAGATAGCCCACGTAGGCGGCCAGGAGCGCGGGCACCCCCCAGCGCCGCCGCCTCCGCTGCTGCGGCCGCGCCACCATCGCCCCGCGGCCACCGCCGCCCCCGCCGCTGAAGAAGCGGCTGAGCCGGGGGCGGGAGCGGGGCCGCCCGCCGGGGGGAGGGCTGTGCCGGCCGACCCCCTGCACCTCCCCCGGCCTGCCCTTGTCCACCGAGTCGGGCTGTCCTGGGAAGGGCAGGTGTTTGTGCCGCTCCCCGCTGCCGCAGCCCACCGCGCCGCCCTCGTCCTCCTGTGGCGTCCGTTCCAGAGCGCGGAGCTGCCCCAGGGGTCCCTCCTCCGCGCCGCGAGTGCCTGAGCAAGCGCGGGCACCGAGTCACCTTCACCCCTCCGAGGGATGCTAGCCAGCCCGTCTCTCAGCAAACACCAAACAAATCCAAGTACCTCTCTCACCAGCTCGCACTCCTTATAGACCACCAGTAGGTTGCGTTAATCTTTCCTCCTTCACTCAGCTGCTAATATAGTTTAAAAGGCAGCAAACAGGTATTTATGATAACAACTCTTCGATATAAATAACTGAAAAGGTAGCAAGTTTGTCAGAATCTTATTTGTAATCTGTAATTTTCCTATGGAAGTACTTTCATCATATAGGTAGCTCTCAAGACCTTTTTTTATTTTCTTGTAGAGAACCAGATCCAACGTTCCTTTCTGTTCTCTCACCAGCAGATAAAACAGCCAAGTCACTTTTGGTGTATAAAAACTTTGTAATTTACCTATTTTGTTGAGTAATGTGACCTAAAGGGGGATAAACCTGCTAGATTTCTGAACAGGATGCCTTCATACACTGTCACATGGAAATGCGTTCTCACACTGCCCTCTAACTATTTTTGCCAGGGACATGTGCATACTATTACAAATAAGGCAACTTTCAAATAGGTATTGCCCCATTGCAACTGTTGTAGTAATGTGCTTGTCTCTGGTTTTCTGGGCTGTGCTTTAAATTGACTAGCATAAACACATGTTTTTGGTAGCAAGATGCAGAAATTAATATGCAAAGATTAGACTAATTCCACAGTAAAGATATCATCCTGAGCACAGTCCTAGGAAAAAAAAAAAAGTTATACTGCTTATTGTTCAGTCTTATGTCTGCCTTTTCAGGGTGTTCATTACTGAATGATATTTAAAGGAAAAATGGAATTATGTAAAAAAGGAAAGCCTTCTATAAAAATATATATGAGAAAATAAAAATGCAAAGATACTAAAAAGAGTATATACTCGTCACCTCTTTCATTTAAGATTAGGAAATAGATACAGCTGAGCTACATTTTGACATTTTAACTACATTTAAACCCAGATAGTTTATGCAAAGCACACTGAGTATAACCATGCTGAAACATTATGAATAAACATATAGCATTTAATATTTATACTAAAGATATATAAAACAAATTACAGAGGAGACTCAGGGGTTTTAACTACAAGACAGACTGTGAAAACCCAGGACATCCAGCATGTGTTTACTAGGAAACTGGGGAGAAAGAGATCAAGATTCACAACAAGTCTTCACAGAATTATATTATATTTAAATGGCTGATTTTCTTAAGTATTCCCAGAAGTGTCTGTCAGTCTTCTATTTACATGTCCACAGAGAATGGCTCGAATCTTTGCCAATGATATTTTGGTGTTGTCTGGAAGGTACCAATATGTATGAGGATGAAGACAGGCTTGTTGGGTAGGCTTAAAGGGTAAGTATAAACTTGGAAGGACATTTGCTTCTTGTCCTGCGCTGGACTGCAAGTGGTAGCTGCCCATCATAGGTGAACACTGCCTGGGCCATTGCTTCTGCCACAGACTGCAGAGCAACATTCAGAGGCTTCAGAGGTGATGTTTTCCATGCATTGGAGCTGAGTATGTGCACTCTCCATTCTGTGCAGAAATGTACCACTGGTAAAATGGGCTATTAGACCAGAAGAGTCCCTTTTGTGTGCTCCTCTGGCTCCTACCAAGCCCTTGTGATTGTGCAGTTCTTCCACATTACTTTTCTTAGCTGGTCAGTTGATAATTGACAACTGCCTTTTTATAGAGGAGGCCACCAGAAACCACTTGGTCCATCCATGCTCAAAGATTAGACCAGTGCTCCCACTATGTATCTCAAATTAACTTCAATTACAGATGTGCATGACCTTTAGGATCTTTTCAGGACCTTGAAAAATTGACAAAGCGAGCAAGAAATTTCTATCACTTATGTAATGCATGAGAGGGCATCAGTGTCCTTGTTTCTGTTCCAACATGGCCATATGCTTGATTTAAGGTATCTCTTTGAGTCTTCTGGCAGGCAGCTGGAGAACTGCTGCAGCTACTCTCAGGTTTACTAAACACAGCAGTAGCAAAAACTTCAGAAGATGGTCTCACCATGCTGCTACTTTGCAAAATCATTAGCAGATACAGGAACAGTTTTCTGGGCTTCAGTAAAAACAATCCAAACTTCCTGCTGTCAGATGTCAAGTAAGGATAACTTGAAGAAACACTTTGCCAGTAAGTGCTTTCTATCCCTGATAAACCTCATTATCATTTTTTATGGCATGCAGCATAGTGTAAAACACCGTATAGGATCACCTTTAGGGTACTGCATGTATTGTGGCTGGCTGTGGTTAGATAAAGTAAAGAAGGCATGGAAAAACACAAGGTGAAAAGAACAGGTTTGATATATCAAAGTTAGCAGAACTTTAATTTTGTCTTTCACATAAACAGGCCAAAAATGTCTTGTAGTCTTAACACAAGGCAGATACAGAGTAAGTGACGGTGATGATGTTAAAAAGTGCAAGTGCAAACATTATGTCTGAAGAATAGAAAATACTGAGAAAGTCTCCTGTGAGATTTGCAAAGATACAAAAAGCCAGACAGGAGAGAATTGGCTGCTCTCAATGAAAGTCTACCAAGAAAGCTGTTGCATAAATTTATGGGAATAGCTGAGGGCTATTGCACTGAGATCAGTGCAAAAACGGAGGAGATAAAATCTGTGAGGTAGGTAGTGGTAAGACATGAGGGAAATCTTAGATGGGATAAGCATTTGAACACTCATTTTTGAAGCTAGTCTAATAAACCATAGCCAGCATTCTTATATGCCGGCATTTCAGATTTGAACAGCTACACTGCACTATGCAGGTGTCAGCAACAGGCAAATAAAACAATCACTATGTCAGACATAAGAACAAATGTCTGTTGTGACCCTCCTCAGGAGTGAAAATCTAGCTCAGAAACTACGCATGAAAAGATTAGTGACCTACACAAGCCTCTACATGTTTTATGGACACTTCTCCAAAATGAAATATCAACGCAGCTGCTGAAAGGCTGACATTTGATGTTCCTGTAGCCTGTCAGACATACACTAGCTTGGGGCTAGTCTACATATGCAGTCATATTTCACTCACACTTGACATTAAAGTTCCTTTTAAAAATGAGTTTAAAAGGATTAGTTGACGGTTACTATGAGGTATAAACATACTGAATAATTAGCAGTATGTACATAATTACAAGCATGCCCATGCAATGTGTTAGTGATGGTTATAACCAATTGGATGTGGTACCCAATGAATGGATAATTGTTTTATCAAGTTTCTGTAGTTCACTTTAATACAGTGTGACTAGTTTTTTATCCCAGTGACTATCCTCTTATAAGGTGCTTATAGATCCTTCTTTGGTTTTTAAGCTTCCTTGGAGATGGCTTCTACTAGTTTTGACTTAAAATAACTGTGACAAAATCAAAGTCTCTATTTCTTACAGCTGACACTATAACTCAAGTGAGGATCAGATCTAATGCAAGAGCCTATCCTCAGCCTTATCTAGAGATAAAGATACAGCATCAAATCTGTATGGTGCATGATAGTTCTTCAATTAACTGGCCCAAATAAAATGCCAGACTCTATTGTTATTTGTGACCTGGCTAGAAATAGGGAAGTCTGCTTGCATTTAAATTTAAAGTGCTGTTAAAGTGTCTGTGAAATGAACTGTGATGAGGACGTGCTTTCAGCTGCCAGTTCACTTTGAGATGAATTGTAACAGTCCAAGCAGTGCTGGATAGACACATAATTTCTGCACAATTAAAAGAGAAGGATTTTAGCTCAGAAAATAAATGTTTTCATTTTATATGAAAGCTGCTCATTTCAGACAGTATCAACTGAATCTTAATTGGATGGCTGTCGTTAAGCAGGTTTTCATTACTGTTGATATTCCTCTGTGGTTTTGCTTGTTTTCTGACTGGAAATGAAGAAAGATTTCTGTACCTGACTTTTTCCACTTGAGATTCTTGATGACATGACTTCTTATTGAAGTCAGTCTGAATTTTGTTGAAAATGAGTGACCGTAAGAACTGAATCCCACTAGAGAAAGACAATGGATAATAATTGATTACTTCAGGGGAAGTTGCCTTTGTTGAGTGAGAATTGTAAAATGAATCCTGGGACAGTTGTATAACCACGTCTGCTACCCCTTTGGAGGTTTAGTGTAGGCTGATGACTACACAGGGTGTGGAAATTTCCATGTTTCTGGAACATTTTCTCCTTAGGAAACAGTCCAAAACCTGTGGTAGTCTTTTATCCACAGGGCTTGCTTAGTCCGAGATACAGATGAAAGATGCAGTTTCAGACTGCTCTCTTTGTACCTTGCTCAGCTAGGGATATGAATTCTAGGCTGCTCAGGTTCATCTTCCAATTTGGTGGTGGCTCCTTCTGCCAAGCTTAAGTCAGACTTGTGCCACTTTATCTGAAGGAATTTTTCCATCAAGTCAGCTCCCACGTTGAAGACCAGAGCCAGCCAGGCCAAGCCAAAAACAATCCAAATTGCAGTTAGGCTCCTGTACACAGGGATATAGTGCTTGTTGGGGTTTGTGCCTGAAAAATCCGGGGAAATTCACATATTAATCTTGACAGCTTTGTTCTGTTGAACATACATACTGATACACCCTCTCCACCCCCTGCAAAAATGTAGATTTGAGAGCTTGAGAGCTCACACTTGAGAGCTTGTGTGATACTTTGTCACACTTGAGAGCTTGTGTGATCTATCAGCAGATAGATCTTTCTTTCTTTTCCTTTTTTTTTTTTTTGTCAGCTAAAAATTAGTCAGTTAAAATTAGCACAGCTGGCATCAAATCCCTGAAGCTGAGGCTATACAATAAAAATAGCCATATTGAGTATTGATCAGGGATGCACAAAATCAACAGTTCCTAGCCAACAACAAATCTTGGAAATTCAACGTTGAATCCATGTTAGCCATATTTTATTCAAGAGAAACACTGGGAATCTCAGATGACTTAGAAAGGTACAGTTTAGTGATACAGTGATTGCTATTTGTAGGGTGATATAACTCAGTATGCAGGGTTCACAATCAGCTGGATAATATGGGAAATGCAGCCATTTTAAGTAAGTGGTTATGAGAATCTTAGTCCCTGGTTTGATATTTCCACAGCATGGACAATCGGTGCAGCCGATACAGGCACAGGACAGCACTGCAGCTATCCACTTAGTCTCTGTTGTCCATACCATCATGAAACTCCACAATGCCAGATTCAGCATGAGGTGCTTTTTTTATCTTCTTTTGGGACCTCTAGGAGAGGAGAGCTACTCCTTGCAAAATAAGAGATCTTAGTGGTTTCAACAAATACACACATTAGACATAATCTGTTAAGATTATGCATTTGTTCAAGTAAGTGTGTGGAAATGTAGCCCCTCACGTGTCTTTACTGTGATGTTCGCAGTCTAGATCTCTAAACACTATGTAATTTCACTGGGTTTGTTTTCTTTCAGAGGCATCCTGTGGTTGTCAGTAATGTTGTTCCCATTGTAAGAATTGATTATTTAATATTTGACATGAATTCTTACTGGGAATGGTAGGCTCTTGCAGAAGCAAATCACTGTTAGGAGAGGGTGGTTTTAAGGCCTAATACTTAATACTTCTTTAAGACAAAGAAATTTTAATTTATATTCCACCTGTCACTCCTGGATCCCATTCTCAGCCTGGGCAGAGACCCTGTTGAATGGGTGTTCAGTGGCATATGTGAAATGAGTTGGGTGACTCAGCTTAGCTGCCAAGAGAAAAATGCTCATGTCCTATAATATATTAGCTCATTATTACTAGTATAGCTAAGCTCACTCTTGTACCAGATTTATAGTGGAATACATATCTATGCCCTCTGTATTTAGTTTTATACTAGAGTAAGAAATTTCAAAAAAGCTCAATTTGGTTCACTTTCTTTTTTACCTACTACATAGTCCCCAAATCCAATGGTGCTCAGGGTGATGAAAGTGAAGTAAAAGCCTTCTCCATAGCTCCAGCCTTCTACGTAACTGAAGACTAATGGTGGGAACACTAGAAAAAGCAAGGTCCCAGTGGACAGGAAGATGGCCACTGCCAGTGTTTGAACCACCTGAAAGATAAAGGGAAGAGAGCAGCTAAGCAGCACGGAGCAGTTGTCATGTCGAAATTGTTGGGTCTGTTTTTTAATTGAATCACAAATGCAGTCCAGCTGGGAGCAGTGGCAAAAAAAGGAAGGATAAGCCAATGCTTCCATGCACTGCAAGCTGAGCTCACTGTTTACTCTGCACATAGATATTGTACCTAATCATGAAACAAAACCCCCCTTAAAATTAGGAAAAAAGGGAGGATTTTTTTAAAGCTTTTTGCAATGAGTTTTTAAGAATGCTTCAGACATATTTTCAGACTTATGATGGCTGTAGGAATGAAATACTCACTTTACAATTTCAATTCAAGAGGAGATGCTCTTGTAATCAATTAGTTTCTGTCTTTGAGGAAAATCATCAAGTATTACATAACTCATTATACAAAGATTGGCAAGAAAAAAAATTATTATTTTCACCATGATTACTTCCAAAGATTTATAAAGCAGCTTATAAGAGCTGAGCCAAAAATATGTTTGGATGAAACCTAAGTGAAGTCAGTTTGCCTTCATTCATTTTTAACTTAGAAGCACTCAGAGGAAAACTGTTCTGTTAGCACAGGCAAGATCTGTACCTCAGTAAAAATGTCTAGCCTTCTGGGTGATAAGTCACTACATATGTGACTGCAATGGATAGGTACAAAGACTGGTCAGGGGATGGGTCATAACAGGGATTTTAGCAATTTAGGACTGAGGATCAGGAGCTCATGGATTTCCAGGAAGCACATTCTGTTGAACTATTAACTAGAGGTGTGCTGATGCAAACTCATTGCAATTACTTAAAAATGCCCTCAAAGGCATTCAAACCAGAGTATGATTTTCTATTCACGTGCCTGTTGTGACTGGATGAAAAGCCAAACCACTGTTTATAAAGTAGGGGGTCCAGGTATCACATTTTCCTTTCTCTTTCTGTATTATCTCATTAAAAAATAGTGTTCTGAGCTTGAGAAACTTGGTGTGAGCCGACTGGGTGATCTGGACAAATCAATTCTATATTATGTGCTCTCTAGCTGTTATATATATAGTAATATTTACCTCATTTGCAGAGCACCTTGAGAATTACCAGTCAACATGGCAATAGTTGATATCTGTTCCCATTTAGTTCGTTCTAGCAGTGTAATAGCATTTAATTAGATAATGAATTTTGCATACAAATTTATACTGAAGTGCACAATTTTAATTTTAGCCTGGCTTTTAAGAAACTTCTGGTACAAACCTATAATGTAGGACAGTAAGCCAGGAGTAAGGAAAAATTGATTGTAATTAATTTCCCAAAGCATGACGACATTGTGTTTAAAAGGAGGTAAGCCAAATTCCTGGAAGAGGCTTTTCAGGGTAAACAAGCATATACAGCTCCAAAGCTTTGTCTGATCATGGGATTTATGCCAGAAACGAGTGTTAATTCAGGAGTGAAAAAAAAAATCACATCCCTGAGGTGCTTCTAGAAATCTCAGGGAAGATGCAACCATACTAACATCCTGCCAGTGGTAGAGTGCATATGTTTGAGGAACAGGTATATGTTGTGCAGCTAAAGAAATTTTGCTTATAGAATCCAAGTCTGCATTTGACAGTACCTTTATAGCCTTCCCACTGCAGATAAAGAATACAGTGACTCAAGAGATTTTACAAATGAACTTGTGTCAGAACTCTGAAATGTTTCAACATATCTAACATATCTAATCTCCCTTTTCCTTTACTGAAGCAGTCAATTCACTGAACCTTTTCTCAGAAACATGCAGTAACTGTGTTATAAATGACCTTAATGTATTTTCTATTATCAGTGCTTCTCTTATTATAAAACATTGGGATTAGTTCAATGACTCACCAATAAGCTGTAAGTAAGGAGAAGGAGTATTTGCATTTTAAGAAAAGGGAGGAAGTGCTAAATTGTTGGCACAATTAGGGAAGCTAATTCAAGACAGATTAGCATACCAATAAAAATAAGTTGTCTTTGCACAGTGTAGAGCTAGGCTCTGGATATATGCTACCATAGGCTAGAGAATAGGAGCTTGATTTGGCTATGTGTGTATACACACACATTCTTCGAAGGTCACCAGATTAATGGTTTTGCTGAGTCAGGTTTTAAAAAGGCAAATCTAGAGTCCCTTAGGCAAAAGCCTATTCCTTTGAAGCTCTTGTAGATAAGTCAAGTGTATCGAGTTTCTGATATAGAGGGCCACATAATTGCTGCGGTTCACACAAGGAAACCCAATCTACCAGCAGCAGCACATATCTGAAAAGAGAACTTTAACTAGTTTTAAAACAGAGGAAACAAATGACAAATTGACAATGTACCTGGGCACGGCCTGGCTTTTGCACCCATCTTTCCAGGGTAAGCAGATGAGCATTGAGACCTTTCCCCAGCTGATTAAGGAAGGCCAGGTTGAGGGGCACTCCGAATAAGGCATAAAACACACAGAAGATCTGCCCTGACACCGTGCTGGGGGACAGGTTACCATAACCTGGAAAAAAAGAAGAAAACAGCTACATGAAAAGGCTGCAGGCATCGTGGAGAGTTCCTAAACTTGGAAGCTCAACTACATTAAGTTTCATGAACCTGTGAATCTGTGATTTTCTGCAATTAAATCTGTCTACAAATTGCCACAGTTTATGAAGAAGGCTTGTGCGTTCACTACTACTAGCTGAAAATTGAACATGAAAAATATTACTCTTATAGAGAATATTGTAACTTGCTATAGGTTTCTGATTTTGTGGTGAGTGCAACTCAGTGCTTCAAAGCAACCTCAAGATGCACTGTCCATGTACAAGATGATATTGGATGTACCAAGTAGGCACTCAGCTTCCTTGGCAGGTGTAAAATACTGGATATGCAAGAATAACAGGCATAACTGGAAACCAGTAGAAAGCAGTAACTCACAGTAATTGATTGTTTTGCAGGTGTATTCTGTCTACCAATTACACATTTCTGGGGGCTTTACAGGATAGTTGGAGGAAACTCAAGTTTATAAGGAAAAGAGTACCTCACCTATAGTGGTGACAACAGTTCCTGCAAAAAAGAAGGAGTTGCTGAAGTCCCAGTTGCTGGGATTTGTGGAGTTTCCTTCTGGGTTGACCCCTTTTTCCCATGCTTCCATGAGGACCTGAGGTGGAAGAGGTCAAAGGAGCAAAGATGAGGAAGAATGTCAGAAATATAGAGAAGTAATTACTGCTTTCCATCTTGAGCAAGCAGAGTGATAAACAGTGTAGATAACAGGGTAGAGTTGGACTAAAATGGACTACTGCTGACATGGTGAAACTTGGAAATAGAGCTGGCTAGGAACGTGAACTCTTGCCACTGGAGAAATGGTCACTGAAGTAGGATCGGTTCCATAGCTAGATGAAATCTGAGGGGAAGGGAGCGGATGGATTCCCCAAAGTGATCAAACTGGGAAAAAAAAGCTGTGCCATAAAAAATAAAGGTAATTCCTCTTCTTCCATAGTCTAGTAATCTCATTTCAGTTTTTAATGTAGGCAAGTGTAAATGTGTCTGCAGGGAGAGCCATGAGGAACATACTCATTTCTGTTTCCTCCATGTAAGTACTAGTGAGGATGAATTTCTATTTTTAGCTTTGACTTCCCAATAATTTTCAATGAATATTAGGCTTCTCCTAGTCTGAAAGATTAACTAATAAAATATTCTCTGCTATTCCAGATAGCTCTTACCAGATGACTAAAACTACTGTGTGCTAAAAAAATACTGCTCCTGCATCAAATATCCTGTCAACTGCCTTAGTGAAGAATGTGTTCCTTTGCTGTCTCCAAGGATTTCTCTGAAGGAGATTGGTTTCCCTCTGCTCAGTGCCTGGGTTTTAAGAATCCCCTTGTTTGTCACATACCAGGTCACAGCCTTTGTAATTGTGCAAAATGCCTAAGGAATTACTTGCTCATCTCTTCTAAAGACTTTGTATGATGCAAGACATGAGCAGGATTTAATAGCAACACCAGCTTTAGTTGGTTCCAGGAGTATGAGATTAAAGAAAATACTCCTTGATTGAAATGTTGACTGTTGCCAGAAGGATGGCTTTCTAATAAACATACCCCCTACAAGGTATCCAATTTTGTACAGGTTTTGCAGTTTTAGGGGATCTGTGCTGGTGGACTGAGTATCTCAACTTTAGTGGCTAATCTTATTTCTGCATTAAAAAATCCTACAGCATTGGTCAAGTTTATCAGAGGGCTGCTGGACATCATCACATGTGAGCTCATGACTGAAGTGTCAGCAGAGCTTATTTTCAATATGACAAACAACTTTATCCATTTAAAACCTGTTCTTAAGAGTGGAAAAAATTCGATGTCAAATATTCTAGAGCTGACTATTTCATTGTCTGCTTAGAAGGAACACACAGAAGCTACTAAGGTGTGAATACTTTGAAGTGTCTAAAATAATCACAGGTTTAATTTACTTCCGTAAGAAACACTTGACAGTTCTATGCATTTCAATGCACAAGAGTTCACAGGAGTTACATTCACATTATGAGAGTCAACCTGGAAGAGTGAGGCAATTTTGAATGTTGAATCCTTCAGACATAGTCTGACAAGGTCAGATTTCTTGGTATGATTGTTGCTTTTAAGTACAACCCCATGAAATAAATGGCATCCTGGTGCCCAGGAGAATTGTTCCTAAACAAACAAGTTCCTGTGGGACAGTTAAAATGGTTCCTAGCTCCTTTCATCTACAGCTCAGGTAAGGGTTATGGCTGGGGTGTGATCAGAGCAGCTGATGAATGGTTGGTGAGCATCAGCTGTTGCCTTTGGGAACAGAAGTAGCCAGTAGGTAAAAGCAAAGTGCTGTAATTTACAGTAGCAGTATGAAACCTATATAAAACTACAGTAGGATGTGGAGAGAATAAAAACTTTCTGCTGTTTTTTCTCCTGTCCCCTTGCCGATGCACATTGCAGCCACTTGTAGTCATAGACAAGGATTTGGTCCTTTCAGTCTATGTTTAGATCAGTTCCTTTGAGGCTGAAAAAGTATGGACATAAAAAAAAGGGGCACTCATAAAGGCTTACTCCTTACTCAATGCATCTCAGTTATGTTGTCAGAATGGCATAATTTCCTGACTGATGTTTGTTTGCCAGAGATGCATTAGATCACAGAATTTGGATTTGCACTTTCCCAAAGCTCCAGGCTTCTCATTTTAGGAGCTGCAGCTCAGGGACCACCTCTCAGCTAGACAGTTTTAGCCATGGAGAGCCAATGCAGTTTATTGATACAGAATTACAAAAATTTGTTTCCTGCATAATCAAGTAAAAAATTAATGAATTAAAAGTGGTAACTCTATCATTAGTGATCATAGATATGCAAAAAGAAACCTGGGTTGAATCCCATATTTAAGGATTTAAGTTTAAAGAATGGGTATTAAGACAAGACATCTTATACTTGTTATCTGAGCAGACTGAGTCTAAGGGCTGTGTCTCACTGCAGTCTGTGAGACTACTGTGACTTTTCAGACTGGAACTTCTGACATGATAGTTAAAACATACAACATACAACATACAACTGCTTCCCTGCATTAGTTTTAAAGTTAGAGATTTTATATGGGAAGAGTAGTATTTCCTAATATTAATAAGAGTTAGATAAATTTCTTAACAAGTCTTATAAATAACAGGTGAGTCAGAGAGGACCTGCACTTATGTAAACCTTGAGAACTACCGAATACTTTGAAGCTTGGTGCATTTTAGGTGATTTGGTGCCCTCAGCCGGTTTTATCTGGAACAGCTTACAAGTGAAATTGTATTTAATTCTGCAGAGACAAAACAAAATGTGATTCTCTGAGTGGCACGACAGTGCTAAGAAAACTCCACTGGAGACAGAGTGAGAAGAATCTGGACACGTGTGAACCATCCCTAAGATTTCTGGGGTAGCAGAGATTTAACTATACCTTTAAATCCCATAAGGTATCCCAGTTAGGTTTAGAATGAGAATCAGAGTTTTCGCCTCTACAATCACTATCCGAGACATAAGGAAAGGACATGTAATATCAGCAAATGCTATAGCTGAAAAAAATAGACACGTTTTTAGGCATGTAAGTTCTTGAAAACTAGTAATTTTCAGGCCAATGCCCGGTGTTCCACAAGAAATATATCACAGTATTGGTAATCAGAACATTGGCTTTGTAGACGGAGGTTCAGGCACCTTTGCTACACTTTTTAATCTGAAATTCACTGTTTGCTTAAATAAATTTACAAAATCTAGGCTTTTTGCTTATCAAAAGCATGAACCTTCATGGAAATATTCTGACTTGGACAGCACGAACTTGCAGCATGTTTAGAGTTTTTATCAGGTTTAGTGACATGGTAGAAAGAGTTCAAACTATTTAGGCACCCAGCTCTGCATCTGGGTAGATTCTGAGCACAAAGAAAGTGGTAGTTTAAGGATTTCTATCCAGTTCTTGCAATACTAGTATGAGAATACAATACCAAGAAAGGTACCTCCAGCCAGTTTTGAGAAACAGATTAAAATGTAATTGAAGATGTCATTAATTGACAACCCATATTGAATAAGAGCTCTTTATCTCTTCTTACAAGAGATAGGTAACACAGTAAGTGATGGTTGGCTTTATCTTTTCTTTAGAGGCCTGTGAGTGCAGGACCACCTTCAAAAACGGTAGACAATTTCTTGTACAAAAGGGCAGAATTTGCACAGGTTTGGACTGGAGAACCTTGGAAGGGCAACCTACTTATTTAGGTTTGATTCTTGATTTTTTCCCCATGCATAATCTCCTGTAATAATTAATGAGGGAGCTGAGAACCATGAAGTTGAAATTACTGCAACGTAGCACAAAAGTGCATCAGGCAGATTTACGTATTTTGGGCATTCATGACTGGGAGAAGAAAGTTGTTCAATAGATCAAGATAAAGAGGTATATGAATGGGCTTGAGAAACCTCTGCCTTTAATTTAAACAGTTAGACCTTTAATATCATGGACAGCTGATCAGTTTATAACATGCTTGGCCACAATAGTATAATTTCTTCTAAAGAAAATAATGCTTGAGCCAAAATAATGGGAACTTGTTCCTCTTACCTGTACAAACTTCTCCAGGGCTTGTCTGTCCAAGCACGTGTAGTTCTGCAGGAAGCTGAGCTTCTCCAGCTGGAACTGGTCCCGAAAGTGGGTCTCTGCCTGCTTCTCCAGCAGCTGGAACACCATAGCGCCCAGAAGGAGGTAAAAGAGATACCCCAGTACCAGCAGCGGAGTCCAGCTGATCTGCCGGTTGTGTATGGCAAAGAGGGGCATGATGCTGCTCTGCTGTTGCCAGTCCCTGCTCAGTACTTAACAGGTTACTGTCCCAAGATGTGTGCTACCCAGAACACCTGGAAATCACTTACCCATGTTCCCAGCTACTGCCCTGGAGATTTTTTTAATAGAACATACAGGTATCAGTGCTATACGAAATGAGACTGACAGAGAAATTTTATCCTTCCACATCTGTTCTCTATCTAGATTAAAGGGTGGGCATTTATGGCTTAATGAAAATGTGAATTATAGTGTTTTCTCCTATTAAAACAACATTTATCCAAAGATCTTAATCAAGTGAATGAAGCTCTCTGAGGTTGGTACTGGTTTCCAGGCTCGGAACCTGAATCAAAACTGTGGTTATATGACTTACCCTGGGTCATATGAATATGGAGTCACAGATGGACTCTTAAAGTCTTGACAAGTAAAGCCTTACTCTAAACACTAGACTCCTGTACAAGAAAACACTACAAACTCTAATTACAGCAGACTTCCTAGAACAGAGAAGAGTATGGAGCTGAATAAATGGAAAAGTCAATAGCTGCTGTCTGTACCATACAACCATTGCTGGCACCAGTAAAAGCAGAATGATGAAGCTTATAAACATCCTGAATTCAGCCTGGTCACATGACAGAACCTCTCTTTCTCTTCTAACCCTAATAAAATCAATCTCCTCACTGCCTGGCGTGCTGCTCCTGAACTATTTGTCAAATGACTCCACTCTTTAGTCCATAGAGTTAGAGAATGCACCACTCATGCCTACTGCTTTCTCTCTCCATATTCCCTTTTAATCCAAATGCATAAGGGGGAAGGAGGGCTTAAGGTTAATCATTGGCTAAAAAAGTATCAGAGGTTCACTCATGGGAGTCTTAATGATTATCATGCACTGGAAATGAGCTGGGCTTGCATATTTTTTTGTAGGAAGAGATTAATGGCAAGTGTCATCTATGCCACACTGCTTCCAAAAGAAAACACACACACACAGAAAGAAGGCCAGGTGGCTAGGCATGCAGTTTTGTTATTAAAATCCCTTCCTATTAAAATGTTCTGGATACAGATATCTCTCCTTTGCTTAGCATTCAGATTGTTTTCACATACCTTTGAACAAGAGTTAGTGCTCAAAGAAAAAGACTGAAAAAAAATTATTTCGTTAATATCTGTATTTGGGAAAATCCTTGTACTTCCCATTTGTACTGTGCTTGTAGCCTACAGCCAGGCATCATCCAGAAGAGGATGACTGACTGGCAGCAGAAGGTTACTTAGAACTGTGAAAAGTGAAAACTCTCATGGACAACTCCAAGGAGATCATTTTGGACTTTTGTCTGGTACCTCTCTGTCAGTGTGACTGAGGCACAGAAAGACTTCAGTAGAGAAGTGCAATGTGCACGAATTCAGAGCCTTGGTGCTCTGGCATTTCTTTTCAGATGAAAGAGTGAAACATTTGGGAGACAGAAGTTACAGTGGCATTGATATTACTGAACACTTCAACAACATTATGAAGCAATCTGATCTGAAGCAACCGAGATGTCCAACTGACAGAAGTCCTTCTCTTGGTCTAAGAGTGCTAAGGGTGACAAATACTTAGTATCTAACAAGAATATCTCTGTTGTGTCTGATTTCCATAACTAAAAGGTACAGCTTGTTGTTCTGTACCTTATGCAATGATAAGGGCTGACAAGCCTGGGATGTTGCACAACTGCTTGTTACACTAGCAAGGCTGTCTCTGGTGAGAGATCCAGGTGTTTGTCATGTTGTTTATAGGACCTGTGTCTACCAGGCCAAGAGAATGCCAGTCTACTGGTTTTCTGGAATGGGTGCAAACCCATGTGCATGGCTGGGCTGAGACACATTTTCTCAGTTGAAGTAGGTTTCACTATTAAGGCTATGAAACTATTAAGATATAAATGAAAAAAATAGAGCACTGAATCTCTTTTACGTCCCCTTCCATTCTGTTCAGTTCAGTTCAACGAAGCATTCCAGCTGCCGAACTTGGCATTCTAAATTATGCTTTAAGAAAAAATGTCCACTCAGGCTTACTTTTGGGATCTTAATTTTCTGAGGGTGTTGCGAATTGGGTCACTAAAATTATAAAGGTGTTTTTACTTCTATACTATAGCTATTCCTACTGGTTTGGTTTTCCCCTCTCTAGGGTCAGGTTGCAATATAGGAGTCAAACAAAGCCAGACTGTGTGCTGCAGCCCAGAAGTTATGTCTTGCCACAGGAAAAAAAGAAACTCAAATATATACATTTGGAAGTAAACTGAAGACTTATGATTTTTGTGTGAGTTCAGCATGGTTTACCACATCAGAAATTAAATTTGGGTTTCAGGTAAAAAGGCAAAAGTTATGTCTATTGTATTTGCACCCTTTACTGTACTCCCTTGTTTATAATATTTTGTACGGAAATTTCCCTTTGTTCAATATTCCATGTTTATCCTTTTGCTGCATTACCACATTCCCTTGCTGGGTCGGTTCTCTCATAGTTAGTAATTCCCACCTGAAGTTAAAGCCATCCCCTTCTATCCTTATATGTCCCTTAGCTGCATGAGCCTGCCTTCCTTTCCAGCACATTCTCTCCAACCCCTATATAAGCCAGTGCACTCTCCAATAAATGGCCATTTTTCCTCTTCTAACTCCGTGGTCAGACCCTTATTTCTCTCGGGCTGTGTCAAATCTCCACCAAAAAAAAAAAAAATTATTCTGATTGCAGATAATTAAAAAATGTTATTTACCATATGAACATTGAACCAAATGCAACTAGATATCATGGTGAATTGACAAGAATGATATATATATGAGAATTTCCATGCTTAGCAATGCTGATTTACCTGTGGCTTAGGGAGGAGTCAATACCAGTATAAATGTGGGCCTCTGATTGTTTCTTCAATGTGGTAAATACTTGGGTTATTTCAAATTAATCTTGAAATTATATGAAGAGAGATTATTAGAACGAGTAACTTTGTTTACCTGTGGCCAACTAAACTTTTTGAAGCAATAAATGCTTTCATGAAGCCAAGTACACTTAGAGAAGTGCCCCAGTAGCCTTTGAACACTTGTGAGAAAACCATTAAGAAGCTGGAGTTGGGCTTTTGACAGTGTGGCCTGTGAGAGGAAGAGAGATAATGGGTAAAAAAAGAAAAGTTCAGGCTGGACATAAGGGAAAACCTTTGCATGATGAGGACAGTCATAAAATTGGAACGGACTGCTTAGAAAGGTTATGCAGTCTCCATCCTTGGAAGTTTTCAAGACCACATTGAACAAAGCCCTCAGCATCTTGGTTTGATCTCATAGCTGATGCTGTTTTGAGGAAGTGGTGGGATTAAAGACCTGCTGATGTCCTTTCCAACCTGACTTTTCCTATAAACCCAAGCGGCAACTTTTGAAAAGTGGAGGCAGTTTTTTTAAAAAGAGAATGCTTTATGTCTGAGAACTGTTGTTTACTGAATGAGCAATCTTTTTTCATATATTTTGAAATTTTTCGAAGAAGAAAGTTTTGTATTTGTATATATGGCTTTATATATTTATATGGTTTTCTATTACTGGATGCACTTTTGTCCAAGTTCTTAAGTGTTTGGTATAATCTTACTCTCAGACCATTTTGCCAATCAGGGACTACTTTGTTGACAATGATTGAATTTCACACCAAATTTACAACAGTGTAAAAACAGGCTAGGGAATTTTGAAATAGAAGAGGAAGGAATTTTTTCTCCCTGTGAGTGAGATGTGTGGCAGACTGAGAACAGAACACTGAATCATCAAGTAGTAGCAGCATCACATAGATCATACCAGGGTTGCACTGGTATTCTTCTCTTAACCAGTTATTTAAAGCTATTGGAAATGCTTCAATGTCAAAAGGAAGAAGTTGTTGTACCACTGATTCTCTTTTGGCCACCTTCATATAAATTCACCCCAATGGGAATTATACTGGAAACCAAAAAAGACAGTTACTTCACCCAGCAATGGTTTGGAACCTCTGGCTCTTCTCCAGCTAACAGAGTTCATTGCCCTGCTCTCCTCAGAAGCTGCATAAACAATAATTCAGCGTATATTTAATACAGTGTTTATATATAACAGAGTGAGAAGAAGAAAAATAAAGACACATAAAAATTCGGGAAGAGGCACATTTTAATATAATCTCCAACAAAGCAGACATTTTTCCGCCTCTGAACAAATCCTGGAACTCCCTCCTTCCAAAGCAAGAGTAGATCTGAATTTATCTCACCTTGTACATTCTAAATCCTTCATAAAGATTACCAATTCATGTGGTAGTTGTGCTGACTTTACAGAAAATGAAAAGGCAAAAAAGGTATAACTTTAATTTTTTTAATTGATTGCATATTAGTTGTTAATTAGATAAATATATGTCTTCTGTAGGTTTGAACATAGCAATTCACCACATCCCTCTGTATAATTAGGAATTTGACACAGACTTAAGTATCAACAACTTACAAAAATATATATCCTTAAGAATATGTGACTTTTGTCAATATATTCTTTTATTTTTATGTAAACAACCCAAATCCTTCCAAATGCATGACTATAATTTTATCACTAGCATGAAGAATGATATTTTCAATCTGGTAGTATGTATATCTCAGAGAAATAGACTGTATTTTGCACTGCATTTTTTGATTTTGGTCCGATGTGTAAAACATACCCAGATATTATACAATAAAGTTGTACAGAGCCAATAGTGAACTTACATTGTATATAAGACATAACTGCATTTAAACTTGCACATGTCATTTGTGTTTTAGAAGTATTTACTCAGTTCTACTTTAAGCCTATTAACTGTAAATGTTTCTTCTGAAACCTGTAGATTCTGAGAGGGTGCATATTTTGCACAACACAGTGCATTCAAATAAAAAGAAAACAGTTGGGAAAATTACTTTCTAAAATCCATTTTTTTACATTACAATGCAATCTCAGTATTCTAATAATCTGATATGAAAACTTCTATTCCTTGGAGGAAAAAAAATCTCAAACAAAATTCTATAGAATTTTATTACCCAGATAACTACTATTATTGAATAGATATCTCTTAATGGCAAATAGGTGTAATTAATAAAGCCTTATGCAAATTGATGCAAACAAAACTATCAGTAGTAATATATTTCCCAGAGTAAAGATGTAGAAGAGCATTAACACATTAGATAATTTTAACACTTAGAAAACATACAATGAATTCTAATAAACATATTTGGCAAACTCCTGATTAGTTGTTTCAGTTTTGCTTAATCTAATGGAAGATGAAGATAATGAATACAAATACTCAAAAATCTATTGCCAGAGAAATGGATTTTGCTGTCAAAGACAAATCATTTATAATACTTTTAACATCTACTTTTACATCTAAAGTACTTACTTGGACCTGTTTCTAAATAGAAGAGGAAGGGAAAGAATAAAGGTCTTTCACTTTTCTAAAGGGAAATGGTGGACTGTGACAAGAATTTCATTTGTTCTCCAAGCCTGAAAGGAGGTAAATAATACATTAGACTAGATTTCAGATTGCACTGTCAGTTTCAAAACAAACTTCAGAAACACAGAAGAGAAGAAAGAAGAAAAAAATCCTTTAATTTAAAACTTTTAAGACACAAAAATCATTCATGTACTCTTCTGCATTTTCATTTCTCTTCCTCAAGACTGAACAAGGCAACAAAAGCATGTTTGAAGAGTAGCCCTTTGTAAAAAGCTTTCCAGTGCAGTCATTACAGTGCTTTAACAATCCTAGCAAGGCCCTATGAATGTACCTGCTTTAATTCCGCTCTGTTTAGAAAGCAAACGGTAACGACCTACAATCCCTGAGGTAATCTTTACTGAGACCTCTCATTCCCACTCCTGCATTACTGTCACTAAGGATATTGAGCATTCCCGTGCTTTCTGTTTATGGAACTTATTTTCCACTCTGTTGGCTTCTGCACACATTTATCCCCCCCTCCAGCTAATGTAAAGTAAGGCCCTCATTTTGCTTCTATAATACTGATATAGAAGTTTGAAAGGGTCAGGATCAATAAAGGAAAGAGCAGTAATAATGTTGACATTTTTTAGGCCTAGCAGACTTTGTTTTGGCTGACCCTATGCTTCCTCATGTTTCCTGCAGGGCACTGTGTGTGTTAACAGTCATGCAGAGAGTGAATACATTTGCATGCAAATGCAGAAATGATTATTGAACACCCCAGTTGAAGTGAGTTTGGGAAGAAGGCAACAGAGCACTGGACTGGGACTTAGTACACTTAGTTTCTATGTGAAAGTGCCTGACTCAGCTTAATGGATTTGGGCAAATAATTTCTCTTTTGTTTATTTTGTATGTTTGAAACATCTTGAGGAAAAGTTATGTGGGAGACTGGTAAAACATAATTTTTTTTCTCCTGAAGTTATAAGTGAGAGTACATTCATTCTCTTGCTTTCTACCTAACTGTACTTCTGATAGTTTTTCTTTTCGGGGGCAGGAATGGGGACATCATAGTCTGCATTCCTGCCTCCCCAAAGAAAACCCTCCAGTTCTGTTCTACTTTGGATGCAAGTGTTATTGGAAACTCTATATAGCCATTGATGCACAAACACTACAGCAGTTGTTGTGCCTCATCTCCTTTTAGTTTAGAAACAAATCAAGTAAGAGTGGAATGATGTGCTCACAGGAAAAGGGAACACATAACACACGTAACACTATCACAGATGCAGGAATAGTGGAGTTGCTGAGCCTATTTCTTCTCCCAGTTAGAAAGGCTACCACTGCACCTCGTAAATGTCCTCAGGTTTCACTGTGGTGCTGAATCACAAAGTACTTCTTTAGTAGTAATAATCTGTAGATTTTACCCTCCTTCATTGTGCTAAATTAGAATTTACAAAATTTTTTTGCTCAATGGTTCCTGCTATCAGTGATTCCATCCCTCAAATCTGAAGGTTTTCCCTTTCCACAAGCAGTCAAGGAACAAAAGCATTCTTTTATAAGCTAGGTTGACTCCAAGTCCTTCTCAGAACTTGCTGGTTGAACTGTCTCTTTTCTATGACACATCAGATCCCTACACAATTTGTTGTACTGACAAGGCCTCTTTAATTTTTGTTCTGCTGCCTAGGCTTAGCAATTAGTCAAGTCATCTGCTGCCAGGATGATCAAATACTACTCCATTCCTTTTCATCTCCTTAGGGCAGCTCATCTTGTCTAACTGAACTTCAGAACAATTCTAAGTACTGATTGTCCTTTGTTCTGAAAGAATACCTTTTATGACTTGGGGTCTAAATAGCTGTCAGTGTTGATAATGTCTAGTCCCTTCTGAAACTGATGGATGATTCTAGGTAATAGCCTGTGGCTGAAAACAATCAGAATGGAAAAAGCATTTGAGAGAGACATTTTTGACATGGTATGATTTAGGAGATAATCACAGATGTGCTCTTGTTAGTTACATTACTGTACGTCACAGATTGACTTAGATTTGGACCTTCTAAAGGCCTGAAATGTTTGTTGTAAGACACTTATCTCTAACCTTCTTCTGGTGAGCTGCCTCTAAAATCAACTTAATTTCATTTGCAGAAGAAACCTGACAACAGCTTTTCTAAATAAAGACAAAAGGGATCCCAAAGCCCAAGCGTGTTAAGTGTTTGCTTTGGATGAGTGTAGGGAGGCTTTTTTCAGCCACTGTATGTTTACCTGACAGTTTTCTGATAAGCAGTGTGATATCAAAGCCCCACTTTGTGACAGTGCTAACACCATCTGCCAGATGCTGATAGCTTGTTGAATAATGCTGTCATCAGCACTAAAGTGCTGATGGAAAGTTATTGCTTCAGTCACCACTACAGCTTTCATCTTCTGTCTCATTGGTTGCTGCCACTAAAAACTATTAGTCCGAAAAAAAAAAAAAAAAGGAAACCACAGGTCATTTTTCTTTATCATGATGAATTACTTTTAGGCTGCCTCGCAGTGCCACCATTGTTTATTTATTGCTTTCTGCTTCCTGCCAATTTTACTTATCTACACTCCAGAGTGAACTTTATTACGTACCTGTGGTTGCTCTCAGTACCTGGTTTGATACAGTGAAATATCTGTTAAGAAGATACTCTCTGCTGGACACAGTGGGCCAGCCTGCCTCCTGAGGTAGGGTACAGTGAAATAATTTGAGTAATCTTTTTTGGAGACAATTGTTACAACTAAATTTGTATCAGATGAAAAACAAGCCAGATAGTTTAAAGAAAAATTTGGAAGTATTTTAATCATCAAGAAACCTCATTCAAATGCATTTACTTAAGGGTAAAGTAATATACTATGCAGGCTGCACAGCCATTGTGTGCCCTAGAAAGTTCACTCATGGTGACTGAGTAAAACAGAGAGCCTTCATAGTTTTGCACTGCAGCACTGAGGCTACTAAAATAAATACATGTGAAGAACCTCAAGAGTTTAGAACGGCTGAGAACATAATGTAATATAACTGAAGCCAGAATTAGTTCTCACTTGCATCAGTATAATGTGGACTAAAGCTGTTTTGGCTTTAAAATGCTGTACGAGAGATTTTGGTTTGGCTTCCTAATTTTTTTGGCAGGATTTACCTTTCTTTTGCAGGATCCTCTGTCTTGCTTTAATGAAAGCTAGGATGTCAGCATCAGCCTGGCTGTCTCCAGTCAGAGGAATAGATGTACTTGAACTTGGTGGGGTCCTGAAATAAGAAGTATACTTGTGGACTCAAGTGAGTAAGAAGGTTAATTTTTCTGTCTCCTCTTTTTTCACCATGGAGGACTTTGTTCTTCCATACATCGTTGGAGATGGCACATTTTAGAGGAGAATTGAGTCACGACTTCTTAATGTCTTACGTAGGGTCCTAATATTAGCCAGTATCTTTTTAGTGTGGTAAGACTACATGCTTATCAGCTATAAAGCTTGTCATAAAGGGTTAAAAATATTTTACTGCTGAGTCAAAGACTTACTGCAAAGTGGAATGCCTAATGTAGTGAGTTTACCAAAGAAACGATGGATGTGACTATGCTGTGTGTTTGTTTGCTTCAGGCTGCTATAAATTTCAACAGATCAATAGTATTTTTGCCTGCTATGAAGGAATTAAATTTTCACACATACACAGAAGTAAACAATCACATGACATTCATGACATTTCCTGACAGATGCAACTTCTTTCTGCTGCTGAGTCTCCAGTCCCAGCTGAACACTTGTATATATGAAGTCAAATCATTGACTTATCTCTGATTTTGATAGACTCTCCGGTGGTATAAGATGATGTAATACAATAAAGCTATTTTAATCAGCTAAGAAAGCTAAGAATTTGGGTCTGTGTCTATAACCTTGTTTGAAGATTAAGCACTGATACAGTGCTTAATCTTCAAACAAATACACTGACAGAAATACAGTGACAAAAATTTCAAATACAGAAGGACAAGTGGAACTGAAGGGAGAAACCTTTTTTTTGCATATCCTACCTTTGTAATTATAGTTATTTCGTCTGTTCCTTACTGACTATTGCAGTAGAAGGTAATTGTGACTGACATAAACATCAGTCTGATATCCTTATCTTTGTTCAACTAATGAAGTTCTCAGTTGCTGAATCAGTGAACCAAAATGGAAAAAAAGAGAAATTACCCCCTCTATTTTTACGAAATTTACAAGGTGATTGCAGAACACCAGTACAGAACTATTTTCTTATTAATTTTCATTTGATTAGCATCAGTATAAAAAATAAAGACACACAATATATTTGAGAAGTTATTGTCTAAATTCCATTTTAACTTCTCTTTTTCTTCTGCTTTTCCTTAACCCAAATGCAATTTAAAACATTTGAACAAGTTCTGGGGGATGAAATTTTCCATTTTTTTTCTGTTCTGGAAATGGATTGTTTTGGAAAATTAAAGAAAAAAACCATTGTTTTGTTCTTACTAATGCAGTATGAAAAATAATAACTTAACCATATTTTCCTAAGGGCCTTAATACCCAGGACTGTTGAGCACAATAAGAACATAACTTCAGTAAATATAGTGACTCAGCACAGTATTTGAGTGGGAGAAAAGAATATGGAAATGAACACACTAGAAAAAAATAGAGGCTAAAAAAAATATCTTTTGTTATCCTGCTAAGTTAATTTTCACAAAACATTACCTCTTCTGAGAAAACATGACATGAAACCTTCTCCAAGCCTGACACACCTGAGCTAGTGTTGTCATTTTATTTTAATAGAATAATTTGTAGGAGGGATATTAAAAACATTTTAAGGACAAAATCAGAAGTATCTCTGCCTAATTCCTGCATTCTGCAATTCTGCAATATGTACATATTCTGATCTCTCTTCTTTTCAAATATTTTATTTAATCTGAAAGAGTCCCTTTCTCTGGGGAGAGACACTCATGAGGATTCATTAGCTTATTGGAAAAAACCCCTCAGGCCAAACAAGAAACCACATCTTTAATGCTGATAATGCACCTGATTGGTGTAAAGCTATGTGACAGCCTTACTGCTGTTTTGGAAGTCGGAGGAAAATCTGCAAGTTCTATTACAGTTTTATTTTTCTAGGAGATTGCTGTTAAACAGTCTGATGTAGGATCCTCTAGACATTATATTACTTAGTACTTTGCTTTTTCCTCTGAATAGCTCAGGTACACTTCTTACCTTGTTTTTAAAGCAGGATTACTAAAAGTGATGGAATTGTTTTTCCCATCTGGATCTTCATTAGGGCTGACTTTTGTGGTCTCTGAAAAACTGGAAAGGGAAATGAAGAAATGAAGGAAAATAAAGAAATGAAAAAGAATATAATCCTTGTGTAGCGAATATTAATGCATACACTAAGTAACTACAAAGAAGATGGTTTTCAAGATTTTTTTAGATCTTTATAAAGCCCTTGTTTACTGGAAGAGGATTTTCAGTTTAATCCATATGATGATTAGATCTCTGTAGCTATGTGGCTATGAAAGAATGACAAATAAGCTCATAAAGATTATACTTTTAGTATTTGCCTTCTAAGTTGGGCTTGTAAAGCACTTTGATGTATCTGATGTACAGTTAGCAATGGTATATTTAGTTCCCAAACTGACTATTATCCAAGTGAGGCCTTAGCTCATTTTCTGTTCTTTCTTTAGTCAGGCAAAATTATTACCAAAATCAGTGGGAGACTGGATAAAGACTCAGTGAGGACTTTGGGATGTGACTTGTTGATGATAACCAAATATATTGCAAACAGCTGCTGTGCATTCCTGCCCCTGCAGATATCATTATCAAGGCAGCTCACTGCTAGGGAGGCAGTTTTCTGCCACTGGATATCCAGGGACTGTCTCCCTGGGGGTTGCATAATGCTGTCGGATCCAGCGCCAATCTTAGAGTGGAAACACTGAATTACTCAGTTTAAGGATTTTTCCAGTAGATGGCAGGATTGGCAAGTTCTTGCTTTTCTAACTCTGCAGTAGTTCGCTCATTGTTGGCTGATGAATTGATATTTCTGGCAGAGAACTTGAAAAAGGAAAGAAATTTATTACTAAAATTTTACTGTATTATACTGTGCCAGGTTCAGTTTTGCAGAAGATATTGTGCCCAGGAGTATAAGTCATTTCCAGATGAACAGTTTTAGTTTTGCTGTATGTTCCTCTTTAACTCCTCGAGTCCCACACCATTCACACCTGCCTAATTCAACTAAAGCATTATAGTATTTGAAGTTAATAATTTTGTCTACTTTATTACACCTACATATTACAAGAGCAAGAAAGGATGTGCAATGTTATTACCTACTATGTGGTTTAACAATATCTGGGAACTTCACGTCATCATTTTGCCTTAGGATTTCCTGAACGTTTTCCCCACTGATTTGGCAGTTCTTAAAAAAGAAGGGATTTAGGCTTTTAAATTCAGTTTTCTAAAAGCACTTTGTGTCACTGCCCTGACATACCTAGGCATCTAAGTCGGTATAATCATGGTTTGATAAATCACTATACATCAACTAAACCATAGCAACCATCCATGACTCTATTCTTAGCCTACAACAAATGTAAGGTAATGTGACTTAATGTGATTCTTTTTCATTGCTTTCTTTTAATTGAAATAAGCTTATTTGCTTCTTATTTGCCATGCATGGAATGTTTAATTTTACAGAATACTGTGAGTCAGCTGAAGTATTTTATTTTTAAACTGCAGTAGTTTATAGTGAGAACTACTTTTTCCATTGAATTTAAATGAAACTGATTATTCAAAATTGTTAAATCCCCATTTTAAAGAGGATTTAGATTCACAGCAATTAAATAACCTAGACACTAACGGTGTGGCAAAGTTTTATCTCTAGGGATCTCACTTTCAAATGGATTCCTGGCCCCAGGGACCATATGCCAAAATTTGCCTTTGGGAGAATTGGGAACCCAAGGAAGGGGATATTAAGAAAACCCATTTAGACTGAAAGAGATGATGCCAGAATCAGGGAATTAACATTACTGTGCTTAGAGATGGACCTTAACCTTCTATCCTCTGCTTGTGGGGTTGCAACCAGACATTTTTAGTGGGGGATGCAAACTGTTAAGGAAATGTATAAGGAATCTTATAACTGTTTTCTAAAATGACTCAAAGTGCTGCTTCCACATAAGGTTAAGAATTAGTGTGCTAATCTAACAGATTAGTTCCTTATCTTGGCACAACTCAAATCCATGTTTTATGTATACCAGAGATTTCTTTAATCCCTAGGCCAGAGGGATGGTCTGTATGGGGATAATTTGCATCCTGAAGTGCTGATAATGGCATTGCAGGATATGTTGAATCATAAGGTGACAAAAGAGGGTAATTTTGCTGTGCAGTGGTTTGTATGCTCAGATGCAACTTGCTCCTAGCCTGTTCTTAGATGTCAGGACTCTCCTCCTTTATCTGACTGTTAGATGCTGTTCCAGTGATGAGAAATTTTCTAGTAATGCTCTAAATTTAATGGAAAGTCATTATGACAGCATGGGATGGGGGTAATGATACCCCTCTCTGTGTGCTAAGCCTGAAGGACTGGACATCTCAGGATGCTCAGCTAAAGCCAAACAAAACCATAGCTGACCTGCTTTAGTGTGATGATCATCTTCTTTGAGCAAGAGGTTGGTCTAGAGACCTCTAGAGGTGCCAAATTTCTGTATGTATTTATTATTTTATTATATATTTATTATTTATATATTACAAAATTTCTGTAATGTGCAAACAGCCACTCCTGGATCACATTTTGGATATGGACTGACATAAAAGGTATATAAGGCCTGTCTCTTTGTCTGTCTCCTAAGCTCTAACATCATTTGGGTTGCTTTGGCAATGCATAATTCCCGTTTTCATTCTGAATGTCTGATTTTTCCTTGAGTTGAATTTAAGAAGCCTCAAAACACTGTTTCCTGACAACTTAAGTAAAAATCCTGCTTTTTTTCCTGGAGATTAAAGATAGTCTGTCAGCTTTGTTTGGTTTTGTTTCTCAAGTTTGTTTTTTTAACCTAGTACCTGAAGTTTCACCCAGTGGATAACTTGCTTTTTTGGGAGGGCAAGGGGGGTATCCTCTACTGGGGATACATTTCTCAGCCAGGCATGGAGCAGCAGCTAGAGAAACGTACACAGTGTTGCAGCAGCGTTTCCCTTGCTGCAGGAACCCAAGGACCAGAAACAACCGACCCATGGACTGATCAGCTCTGTCAAACACAGAGGGTAGAGCAGCTGGAGAGATGATGCACATCACAGTATGAATGCTTAATCTGCCAGCTGAAAAATAGTGGGAAGTCAGGCAGATTAAAATGGAAAGTGAAAAATTTGAAGGTGTGCAACCTCTGTAATGTTAAAAAACCCTCAGCTGCAGTTCTCCAGTCATCTGGGCCTTGGACATGAGGGGAACAGATGTTCTGTGTAAAGATAGGAATGATTCAAGCTGCTTAAAAGCTGAGCATTTCAGTAGTTGGTTACAAAATCAAATTTGGCCTAGCTTGCAAATTCATAGATAAATTATTCAAGTTGTCACCACAGAATGTGAAACCCTTTGAAATGTCATTAATTGACGATGTTATTCCCAGATTATATTTTATCATCATGTAACACTGAGGAAAATTGGCAGGAATAAAAAAAGATTAGACAGAAAATGCTGCAAAACATGTAAACATTGCCCTTGTTTCACACAGGATTAATACAGGAAGGAAATTTTGCAATCTAGGACAATAATTGTTAGAAAATGTGATGCTCAAAGTCATCAGAGGACACAAAGAGTTATCTGAAAATATCTCAAGAGGAATCTAAAGTGCTAGGAAGATTTTGAAGAAGAAATAGGACAGCCAAGGAGTCTGAGATTTAACATACTTGGTTCTGGCTGGAATAGGACAAATGAGATTCAGTAAAAGGGAATGAATAAGGTTAAGAAAGATCTGACTAAGCTAAAAAGGAATGCGTTCCTTCTCAGAGAGGGAAAAAACCCCAAAACTTTCTATAGGATTTGAATAACTATTTGCTTGATTTGAGGGGGATACAAGAACAGTTTGACACTACTGAAATTAAATGTTCAGTGAGAGAAGTAACTTGAATAGACAAGAACCTGATAAAGTCCTTAATGAAAGCCATTGTGGGAAAAGACTATATGGGGAAGAACAAAATGCTGTGCTTGAATGCTGAAGTGAAGCACACATGGAGTGCTGAGCCCAACATGCATTTTCAGACTTTTTGCAGACTTGACAGGAACCCATTAAGGGACATAAACATATATACAGTATGAGTTGCAGTTAGCACCACAAGCTTTCAAACCTTACTGACTGAGGCAGAAATGTTCACTGTTCAACTCTTTTATTAACACACACTCATTTCAACACTTAACAATTCAGCCATTTTTGTCAGTTGTAAAAAGATATATGTTTGGCCATGAATCAAGTGCCTTTTATATGTGTGTATCCTTCTTAAGCCTCAAAAGGATTACCAGCCTCCCTTCTCTATTATTTTAGTCATAAATTGATTTAGTATAAAATATAATCTGAGCTCTCCCAAGGCTTAATTTTCTCTGATAACAAGACTAAGGTGTGTCAAAAAATAACAATCCACACAAATGGTGTGCTACATGGCGATCAAAAGATTTTGTTCAAACACATATAAAAATCTCAAAAAAGGTTATAGACTATACCTGTATCCTTTGTAGGTTGAGATAGATAATTTGTTATTTCTAATCCTGAAGACTGTATTCATATCAATTCACATTCAGGAGTTTGTCTGAATGTTTTTACTGCACACTTACTCTGTCAACAGCAGTCTTAGGTTTCTGACACGCAGCCCACTAAGTTTTAGATCCTACATCTATTGAACACACTTGTTAATTGAATTCCATCTTGGAAATAGGTTTTATTTACACCACATTACATCAAATACAATTTATGTCAGTTTTTTCTTTTGTGACCAGTTATTCTGCTGGAGGAAAATAACCATATAATTTCAAAGAGAGATTATTGATTTCTAGGTGAGTTAGGAACATAGAGCCATTTGTGTCTCAGGACTATGTAACTAAGAGGAGCAACTGTAGCCTGGGCTCATTCTACCCGATCACAGGAACTGGTATGTAAAGTTCCTGTGCCAACTGGGGTCAAGAAAATCCTTGGGAAATAAATATTCTACTATTTTACTCTCTTAAAGCCTGTTAAATTGAAAACTTCTACTCTCAAATGTTATTACATCAGGTTGAGGAAAAAGTAAATTTTCATGCACAGTGGGATGTTAAGCCTGCAGCTCCTGTCTCACAAAAAGCAGAAATAGTGTTTCTATTTCCATATACATCACACTGGAAATCTACCTGAGTAAAATATGTTCAAACAGCCTAACATAAAATAAGATCAACTTTCTAGAACTGTAGGAAGGAAAGAGTAGTTGACTTCTAAAGATTATTGCAAGAATACTGATAGAGATGGGAAAATAAAACTATATTCATCCTGACTCTGTCTATGATTTAAGTTCCTGAAGATGAATATTCTGTGACTGTGATATGTATGCAAGGATCATACAGTCAGTCTCAGTCAAGATGCCCATTACTTAAACGCAGAGAAACTGTTCGCTGTAAAGAACATCTGCTTTTTTGCAAGAAATTATGTGGGGCAGTAAGCTTGGCAGCTGAAAGCAACAAAACATCATTCTATTCAAAATGCCAGCCAGGCTTTGTTGAGATCTCTCCTCCAGTAATAAACATGAACAGTAAAGGCATTTGATAGAAGAGCGTAAATAAAAATTATAAAGAAATCAGTTATAAAATTTTGCTTCTGAGCTAGGGTAGGGGATGGAATATTCACCGCTATTGGAGACCAGTCTCCCATTGCACTGGAAAGTGCCTGGGCAACACCGTATGTTCTTTTTAATTCTGACTTGAACTGCAAAGCTATCACTGTCCTGAGCAATGCATCAAGACACCAACTGAAAATTGTTGTTCTCTGGGTCAGAGGGGCAGAGAGTTTGTGCAAGAGGTGCTTAGTTCAGCATAGTACAAAGTTTAGGAGAGTGACAGTCATGGATTGCTTGAGCTAATTTGGCTGACTTTCACAGAATCATAGAATCAACCAGGTTGGAAAAGACCTCCGAGATCATCAAGTCCAACCCTTGATCCAACACCAAAGTGGTTACCAGACCATGGCACTCAGTGCCACATCCAGTTTCCTCTTAAAAACCTCCAGGGACAGTGAATCCACCACCTCCCTGGGCAGCCCATTCCAATGCCTGATTATTCTCTCTGTAAAAAATTTCTTCCTAATATCCAACTCAAACCTCCCTGGCAGAGCTTAAGCCCGTACCCTCTTGTCCTACTGCTGATTGCCTGAGAGAAGAGACTGACCCCCACTTAGCTACAACCTCCTCTCAGGTAGTTGCAGAGAGTGATGAGGTCACCCCTGAGCCTCCTCTTCTCCAGGCTAAACAACCCCAGCTCCCTCAGCCTCTCCTCATAGGACTTGTGCTCAAGTCCCTTCACCAGCCTGGTTGCTCTTCTCTGGACCCGCTCCAGCACCTCAATATCCTTCCTGAACTGAGGGGCCCAGAACTGGACACAATACTCCAGGTGTGGCCTCACCAGCGCTGAGTACAGGGAAAGAATCTCTTCCCTGATCCTACTGGCCACGCTGTTCCTGATACTTTGTGCTAAGACAGACCAAAAACACTCTCTCATTTTGTTCCATCAGCTTTTCTGTGGGACAAATAATCTTCAGCCTAATGCCAGAAATGAACAGCTCAAATTAGGCCTAAAACCTGACAGCCATTTGCAAAGTGAATAGTGCTTAAGTCTTGATAGAACACAGAATAAGAACTGAAGCAAAGTAGAGGAGACTAGAGTTGGTTTTAATCAGTTTGACACATCTGAAAATGTCTTCTTAGACAACTTTAGATGACTATGTCTATAATTTTCTGTACTGATATCTGTAGCTACAGATACAGGAAAGTTTAGAATAAAACTTACAATATATTTTACAGTTTTAAGAAAATTCAGTATTCATTATTTAATGGTATGGAGAATATATTGTGTTTGCTGCAAAACAGAAAACGTAAGTAGAGTCACAAAGTACTCTGGGTTGGAAGGGACCCACAAGGATCATCGAGTCCAACTCTTAAAGCCAATCATCAGAGAAATGGTTACTGTATAATAAGCAGGAAAAGAGAGGGAGAAAAAGAGAGCAAGAGAAAGGTGGGGAGGAAGAGAGGAAATTTATTGTCCATGAATATGGAAACTACACATTCAGGTATGTGGTTTCTTGCGCTCTCCTTGAAGTCTATGGAAGATTTATTAGTGCAAATTTAAATTAGAGGTTTTGAAATCAGAAGTGACTGATGATGAAACTAACAAGATGATTGCATTTTTCTACTGTAGAGGATGCACTAGCATTCTATAATATCAAATGTAATATCACTGTGTAATAATATGCTGCATAAATGTAACACCATGACATTTTTCAACAGCAAATCTATCTAGGCTATATATTAAATAATTTTTTAATCTTCTTTGGTTTGCAGTCCCCTGAATACATTCCAAAGGAGATGCAGTCTCCTCATACAGCAGAGTTGATTGATAACAAGCTTGCCCTCCTTATCTGTCATGGGGTCCCTAGTGATAGGTTTCCAGGGTCCCAAGACCAACAAGTCAAAAGAACTGATGTACAGTAAGTTACTTTCCATATGACTGCAAAATGACTGAATGATAAAAATTCATTTTCTACAGAGTTGTTTCTGTTGTAACTGTAAATACAGTGTTTCAGTGTGATATTTGCAAAAGCATTCTGGTAACTGCACTTCTATTAAAACTGCATTGTTTTCCATGTAAGTAAGGAAGAGAAAAATAACCAATTTACCTGTTAGCTGATAGATGCTGCAAGGATTTGATAAACCGGGGATAGACAGTCACAGTATTTGGTGATGTAACCATCTCTGGCCTTTCCTGCTGGTTTTAGATCAAAAAACAAAATTAGGTAGGAGAGGATCTTTTTAGAGTGCTTATTATTTGCCCATAGGTTTCAGCAATAACAAGGTAGGCAATGACTCATTCAGAAAACACAGTCTGAATCATACAGTATTTTCTCCACTTGCACAAACACTTCTGAACAAAAAGTATTTAGATTGGTTCAAGTATTTTTAAGCTCAAGTTACACTTTTTTAATATGTAACAGCATGTGTTTACCAATTTCAGTTTCATAGGGAGCTCAGATGTATAGATAGGTCAAGATCCAAGAAATCAATCCCAATTACTTTTTCCAGTTTTCTAGTCTTCTACTGATGAATCATGAGAGGCTGCATCTTGGAGCTCTCTTGTTAAGGGACACCCAAAAATGTGCTCCAGTGGATTCAAGAATATTACTTTCAGTGCTTTGAAAAGCCTAAATATTTAGGTAGGAGGGTGACTAAAACATTATCTGCTTTGCCCCTAATATGGTTACAGATTTTAACATGAAGAGTATTTTGCAGTGATAACTTGAAGTTAAGCTAGTTAGGTGGCACAGTATGGATAACTAAGTTTCTCATGTTAAGTTCTGTATGTACTTTAGGCTGTTTTCTTAAAAAACCAGTTTAATTTATACTCACAAGAATTAAACAAAAAATGGGCTAAACATTTCTTTGTTTATAACAACTTTTCCTCAAGGGGTAAAACTTCTCTCCCAGTTAATAATAAATTATATGGGATGGACTTTTCATGAGGCTGATGTATGTTTCATGGCACTGCTTCATTGTGAGATGCCATGTCACTCCTTGTAAGTCATTAGAGGAGCATAAGTCAGAAGAGGAGCATAAGAAAGCTGTGTTGTTGTTTCAGTTGAGTGTAGTCTTCGGACTGTATAAGAATTTCTTATACAATGTTTAAAATGACACCCCTTTAGTTCAGTTTTACACAGGTCATTGAATTAGAGCACTGTTTCTGCTGGGTTCTTAAACACTGGTGCACCTCAGCTAGAGAGTGAGGGAACTCAGTCTGTGCTGAGAGCTGCTGACCCTCTGGGAGCTTAGGGAAGCTGAAAGGTTACTGGAGTCTTTGAAACAAAGGAAGGTAAAAAGCAACTACATTTGCTGGAATAAATCTGACAAAATCATAGTTTTACTAGCAGTAAAAAAGATTATTTTTCCCAATCTCCTCTATTTGTTTAACATTCCTTCAGAATTGTTGGCATTTGGGCCCATTCTTCCCTATCAGTTTTTCTGGGAGAACATAAAAGCAGAAAAATAGACAAGAAAGAAATTATTTTTCTTTATTTTTGTTAGCTTCACACTGTCCAATTTATTACTGGACATTACCTTTGTCCAATTTACATTGGCATAAGCACAGGTAAACCAGGCTCCAAATCCCATCCTTCATTCTAATTTCTGTATAGTCAATTAAAAACTTTAAGAAATGATTGAAGATGTTATATCTACATGAAAATGGAAGAAATACAAAGTGATTTCATACCTGTAAATTTTTTGCCTCTTCAGACCACCAGACTTCAAAGTCTTTTTGCATTTTCATCTTCACTTTTTCCATAAGAAGCTGTAGGTGTTCAATCTCTACCTTCAGCCCTTTGAAGCGATTGAACATTGTTTTATAACTAATATGAGAAGAAGAAAGTGTATTACAGATCTTCCAACGTATATCTGAAGAAATATTTTTCCTACTTAGAACAGTTACAGATTTAAACTATAAAATAATAAATGATAATCAGAAATGCAGGGGACACAGAGGGATGGTAGAAGGAATCATGTCATGTTTTATGAAAGCTTCCGTAGACAGCAAGTGCAAGAAATTTATCCCAAAAATCTTTTATTTCATAAAAACATTAGTGAAATTCAAATGGGACCAATATTTATTAACAATTAAAATACAGGTTCAATCAACTATGTAAATTATTTCTTCTGAATCCTCAGCTTGTTACCATTAATAAGGAACTGGTCACCAGAGCTTGGATTCAGATAGGAGCTGAGATGGATTCCCCTTTCAGATGGATGCTTCATTAACCAAAACTCTTGGCTAACATAGCCTTGGAGATTTACCAGGAGTATGAAAGAGCCAGAAGTTTCCTCAGAGACTGTGCATAAGACAAATGCTAGCAAAATACTTAGAACTGATATCCTTGTATCTACTTTCTTTTATACTCCTGGCTACAGCAACATTAGGACAAGGACTGGTTAACAAATGTGTATCCTGCATGTTATTTACACTTGGTCAATCCTGCATAACCTAAAGATTTTCCCTAGGTCAAGAAAGGCAACACTTTTCTGAATCAACCAAAAAGGTTCACAGTACATTTGGATTCAAAGAACAAGTTTTGAACACTAAGCCTCAGGGAGGATATTAAGCTGTTTTTATTTAGTTTTAGCTTTTATCCCAAGCATAAATTTTCCCCAGTCATCTACTGTGGCATCTTACAGACAAGCCAACAGTATATACACAAATTTAAAAACTATTAGTGAACCACAAAGCTGACATTTTTTAAATGTCAGAGAAAACCCTGAGGGTAACTGTGTGTGCAGAATTGTAATTGGAATATCGTATCAGTATAATTTATCTTCTGAAGGATAGCAGAAGTCTGAGGCAGAAGTAATACCTTTTTTTTTCTTCTTCAATTTGCATTCTAAGTTTCTCTTCTACAGGATCAAACATATTTAACTCTTCAGAAGGACTTGAAACAGCTATAGGAAAAATGTTCAGATGTAAATAATGACCATATGAAGTCCAAAGAAGCAATTTCTAATTAGAATAAAAACTACTTTTTAAGAGGTAGTTAACAAAATGGGGGTCATTAACCATTTCTCTCTTCTGGAATTGCTTCTTCAAATTCCTGATTTAGGCCTTACTTAGTAGAGGATACAGTTGATAACTAGGGATTTGAATTAAGTTGCTTTTAATTTTTTTTTTTTCCAGTAAAGACAGGAATACTGATTTTAGATATGAATAAAAGCAAGTTGTCAGTTTAAACATTCATCTTTGGCATAAAACCCGATCAAATGCATTCTAACCTGGCAGTTTGGGCTATAAAGAAAAGACCAGAAGTTGTTCCAAAAAGAAGAGACAGCAGTAGCTGTGTTCATGTTTGGAAATAAAGTAACAGAACGACGAGTAAAAGACAAATCTTGAAAGAAAAATTAACTTTGGTAAGCAATAAATTCAGACAATTAGTATAAATAAGGAAAACATCCTGAAACTATGAGAAAATTTTCAAGGTAAAGGAGAACTGAGGAAATACCTTAAGAGTAGCCTAAGTTAATGTAAGAAACCAGTTTAGGATTTCCCTATCCTGTAACAGAGCTAGTGAACATGCAATACACAATATGCTTAGTAAGAGAGATGATAAAACAGTCTTTCCATCATGGTTGATATGTTCATCAGTGAAAGGAGATGTAAAGTTACCTACTAGTATTACAACAGTTGCTGTTTCTAGCATGAATGAGAATAGTTTTAGGTTCCCAAGAAATCACGTTTAACCTTTTTAACTCAAGAAAAATGAAAGAAACAAAAGATTTGCTGTACAATACATGCAAGTTTCCACCCTGACTATTATTTCTGCCAAGAAAATAAATTCTATGTCAGCCTGTCACAAGGCCTGAGGAATGCACCCTCTCTTCAAGGAGAGGAATTCTGTCTGGAACAAGAGGGCAGTAATGACCCCTCTCTGCCTCCAATCCCGCCAGCTGAAACCATTAATCTTTTGTTGTAGCACCCTATAGCTTAATACAGATTAAGTTGAAAGGCATTTTATTTCATTGGAATACTTAAGTCAAGCACGTTAACATAGACAGTCAAGGTGGACAAAGGCCATGCAGAATTCTCATTTCATACATTGAAAGGCTTTGCTGCATGTGATTACAAAAGAAGAACAGGGTGAAGACATTTGTGGTGGAGAGGGTACCCTGAAAAGATAAAAATATAAACTGCTTGGAATGTTAAAGTGAATGCACAAGGTAAAAACATCACGGCGGGGAGATGCTAAAACAATGGCATTGTATAACAAGTTATACCTGAACACAACAGATAATTAGAAGGCCGTCATAATCATGTCAGAACCTCTACAGAAATCAGTAAACCTTTCCATGATTACAGCATATGAGGATTTTCTGATTTTTCAGATTTCATCCCCAAGAGAAGGCATATTGTGGGAAAGCACAGAGCTACGCAGGGAATTCATGAGGAGACACTCGCTGCAGAGCTCCTGAGGCTTCACACTTGTGCTGACCTTCATGAATACACAGAATCCAGGCTTGAGAGAAATGTGCTCTTGTGGAAACAAACTGAAATGATTTAGAGAGTTATTGCCTCTTAAGTGAGCCATGCTCACAGACCATGTGAGAATCCTTAATATGTTTCCATGGATATTCCAGCCAGACATAACGTGAGCCAACTTCAGCAGTGATTAAAAGGGGACTCTTCTGAGAACACTGAAGTGCGTTTGTCCTATTTGCACAATTTGTAACAGTGTCTGAGTTCAGGAGGTAGCAGCTCCAGCCCCTTATAAGGAACGGAAATAATACAGAGTGGATGACAGTATATCTTAAAATGTTAATACTGCTTCTGAAGTGAGAACTTCCCTACATGAAACATCACCAAATTCTGCTAGTCATTACAGGGTGATACAAGGCCATAATATAGCTTTCCTTCCTTGATTTATTAGAAACATCTAGTACTTGGAAAAATGTTTATATGTTAGCTCTGAAAGGTCAGCCAAACTTAGGCAGAATTTTGTCACTTATACATAAAACCACCATGAAAAATGTTTTTATTCTGCTGATTACATGCTGTAGAAGGGATTATTTGGTTGCAAGTTACCTTCAGAAATAACAGTAAGTTACCTTTTATATGAGATGAGAACCTTTATCATAAACAGGTCCCATCATCTTCACCCCTGAATAAAACTACACCCATTATCTCCAGCTAGTGATGAAAGGCAGAAACACAGCTATGGGCAAGGTGAGCAGCACAGTTTCATGAACGGAAAGAAATGAGTATACTGCAAGCTGATGGGGCCCCAGCAGCAAAACCAGCATTAGATAAATGGCTATAACTTAGACATCCATCACTGTTCTCAGGTCACAAAAGCAGAAGAGATCTGATCACAGTATCAGATGAAGTCCCATGGTAAATTAAGTCCAGGACATGCCTACGGGGGCACTCCTTTGTAAGATGTCCACTGCCTTTTCCCAAGATACTGCAGTCTTCATTTCAGTTTTTTGTTATGCCTGCTCATTGCAACAATGTGTTTGTTAAGTGATTAACTTTCTGCTCTAAAGACTAAATCTTTTTGAATCTACCTACTGTAATACGTACAAACACACACATGGCTCTTTCCTGATGTTCCGAGCAAAAGACATCTAAGGTCTGGTGGACTGTGTTTCAACTCTTATGTTTCCTGCTGCTTCTGCCTTCTCCTCATTCCCTTCTACTTCTTTTCTCCCCACTCCTCTTTACCTTTCCTGAATCCCTGCAGTGGCCTCTTTCTGCCCCTGGGCTCCTGCTGCTGCCTCACACCCCTCTCTTCTTACCAGTCCAGGCAATTTCAGCTACAGCTGACGTGAGGAAGGTAAGGCAGAGGTTACTGGCTCATGTCTAATGTTTTAACGTTCTTCAGTATGATGTAGGCTCGGTTATTTTAAAATAACACGAGAGGGACAACTGAGTGAATAGACTGTAAAACATAAAAAGCATAATATTTACTCAAAAAATTTAATTCAGATACCTAAGAAGAAATGCTTTATTTTTGCTACAGGTTTTTATTCCTCTAAAGAGTTTCTTTTTAGTGTATATTTCTGCCTTTCCATGCAGAAACAAAAAGCATTTATTAACCATATATAGAGGAAGTACATGCAAATTGCAAAACACTGAAAAATCACATCAACTTTTGCCCTTACACATTAAACAATTTTGCAATATGTTACAAGATGTAGTAAAGATGCTACTGCTGAAATATTAATTATCAGATATCTTTTCTGCAACTGCACAGAAGAACACAAAGTGGTCTCTCCTTGTCCACTCAGGATTGACTTTTATTAACTGATTGACAGTTTGTCATATGAAACTTGATTGTACAGTCTCACTCTATGCTTTTAGTGCATCAGCTGAGGTGAGCCATTCAATTGATGTGTAATACCACATGCACTTTTAGTGCCCCAGTGACTTCTCCTGGGAAACAAATGGAGTTACTGCAATTTAATCCTGGGTAACGCAGACCCAGGTTTCAGGGGTGCAGGGGAGGTATGATGTGCATGTTTAGGAAAACATTGGCTCTGTATATACCAGGGGTTTCTGCTGGCATACCTCCATCCAATTCTATACAACAGAGTTATTTTGTCAGTAGTCAGCAATGTACTGATAAGGAGTATTAGTTTCTTTACATTAGCATAACTGCACATACAGCTGAGTGTCAAAAATTATGAATCCTAAAGTGTGAAGTCTTTTTCAAGAATACCGAGGTCACGAAATGTAAAGAAGAGACTTTGACAATGCTATGCTGGGTAGTGAAATAGCTAGCAACTTTTACATTCAGGCTAACTGGTTTTGTTTCATCTTCACATACAACCCATTTGCTAAAGTGAGGAACAGGATACAATTGCTACCAGCTGCCTGCTTAAATAGGAAGGTGAGCTCTGCATGAGTTGACAGTTCATATCATAAAGGTTTGTGATTTTTGGCTTTTTTTCCATATAGAGGTTTCTTAGAGGCATTCTAAGATACAATTATTTTATTCTCATGAAAGGGCCAGTTTTGGAGCACAGGAAGTAGTAAATTTTAGGGTACATTCCACATCACCAAAACACACAGTATCAGAAAGAAATTATAGCACCTGCTAACTGGATCTCTATTTCAAAGCAATATGCAAAGCGTGGATGAAAAACACTACTTCTAGCATGAGATACCAAGTGTTATCACCATGGTTTACTGCAAGCTGGCAACAACTCGAAATACTCTGGCAGATACTTGTCTAGAGTCAAAAAATTTTGCAAGAAACTCTCTGTGACCCTGAACTTTATACTCTCTGGGGCACTCGTATATTTCTCGACCTGAGTGTATCCCAGAAGTCAAACTCCTAGGGATTTATTGTCTTGGGCCTCAAATAACATTGTGCCCTGCCCTCCAGCTGTACTTTTGCAGTCAAGTATTTTCATTTTTTCACTATATAGTCTTGTGTTTATCTGCTTAAATTTATAGTCACTTGAAGTGACCAAATTTAGAATTGACTTTAGTATTCCATTAACTTACTTACTGCTTTATTTATCAGCTTTGGAGCTTTTGTCAAACTTCGGCTTTAGTGCTTTCAAACTGGAACATATGTTGTCATTTGGTTTTTTAAAACAGAACTACCCATCCATTGTCAAGGATCAGCTTACAAGTAATTCCCCCCCTTTTCTTTTTATTCCTCCCCTGGGCCATGTCAGCCTATGTTTGTCACTGGGCACCTCATGTGTACCTTATATAAAATCAAAGATGAGTATGCACATCCAACCCAAGAGAAGAGGAAAATGTCCTAGTGCCTGGATGAGTTTATATTGTAGGTGTTAGAGAAATTTACCTAACCCTAATATAAAAGATTTTTTTAAAGTTCCAGCCAATTTGTCATGAGAATACACTGAAACAAACTGTCCTATTTCCAGCATTTTACATGTTAAGGGATGTACAGGGGACTGGGAATGTGTATTTTCTT